ATATATATATATATATATATATATATATATATATATATATATATATACATAATATACGATAAATATAATATATGATTTAAACCATGGCGCTAGGGCTAGCCTACTGAAGGGGCTGTCTATTAACTATCTATTAATGTCAGCAATTTTTTGGCAATTTTAATTATAATGCTATTAATTTTTTTGCGTTCTTGAAATATTATCATCACTCATGAAAAAATCTGTGACGCGAAAACTTTATGCTAAAATAATATAATTTATTTTTTTCATAACAAAAAAAATGATTGCTAGAAATCCGTTTTGTTTTTGTTTGAAAAACAATGCATAGAACGATTTAGTCTTTGTTTAAAATGGCCTTTTTGTGTAATAGCATGCTTAAATTACCCAGAGTTTTTCATTGAAATTACCTAGTTTAAAAACGTAAAATTGAAATGATTTTAATTTGTTCTTAATTAAAAACGAAACATAGTAAAGTTTATTTTAAATAATTTTACAACATCTTTCTGTAATTAAAATTCAAAAAATTGGTAATATCTTTGTTTGAAAGTTTGAGTTAATAAATTTGAAAAAACTACGATTTTTGTTGTTGTTTTTACTTAAAAAAAAGTGTTATTGTTTCAAAAAAAAGTGGTGTTAAATTTGATCTTTTAATGTTAAGTTTTGTTAATAAGGAATTTAACAAACTAGTTCTAATTGTCAGGATAAAATTTTTTTACCTAATTAATGTTTTTTTTTGAGCAAATTTAAAGAGCTCATAGTACCTAGTGGTCCGGGTAATATGAGCACTTTTATTACTTTTAAAAAAAAAAAGTAATAAAAGTGTTCATATTACCCTCTTTTTTTTTTAAGAAACAATTTTGGGTGCCCAAATATCTATGATCCAATATAAATCTAGGATCCAATATAAATTTAAAAGTTTTTTAATTGCAGACATTTTCAAACCAGCATAATTATTTTGAAAATATTTCAAATTTTGCTTAGGATGCTTATAATAATACCCTGATATACCTTATACAAAAGAGTAGAAACAATTATGCTTCACAAAAATTCTCAAGCTCTTTATGTGTCATACACTGCCTATAATATTAACTTTCTCGGTAATCATTCCGCTGAATCTTCCGTTAAAGTAAAATTTGGTTTGGTTCATTTGTTACACAATCTCTTTAGTGGAAGTCCTATTTAATAAAATTCTTGGCTGAGAAAACTGGTAAGTTTAGTACACACATTTAGATTGTGAAGCTGTTTCTTAAGCGACCAACGGATGTCTTTATACCTTTGCAAAAGCTTTATGACATTGGTCTAACTCATGAACCTTTTAATTGATGAACATTGAATGAAGTAAAATCTCTAAAATGAATTCAGTCATTTGAGATCATCATTATGACAACCTTTTGTTTCAAATCTCTTTTAGTAATACACATGCCAGTGTCTGACTTCAATGAAAAAAGATGATAATTGAAATTTATAAAAACTTTATTAGGACCTTGGTCTTTAAGGCACAAATTAATTAATGAAGCACATATAATTGCCTCCTGTCAAAAAAGTTATGGATTTTAATCAGACTTTGGTTCAAAAGAGGATAAAAATTCATAAAAAATTGACTTTTTACAAAAAAACCAACATCAAAGTTTATTTTTAAAAAAATAAAGAGAAGCAGTTTGAGGTAAACGTATTTAATACCGCTCTTGATACTCACTATTTAACAAATACGACACAAGCTTTAAGCTGCAGACGAAAAAGTTGACGAACAGGTTTTCGTTTATATGGCCTTTAAAATCTGATAGTAGTTTAAGTAAGGAAGTTAAAACATATAGATTGGAGTAGAAATACAAAACTTAATCTATATGAAAAATGTTATTTTGGTCAATTTTTTGGACCAAAATAATTTCTCACTTCAATAAAGCTAATAAATAAAATCTACCAGAAAGGTCTACATTCTCTATTTTAATCCATATTCTGTTTGCTATGCAAACTAGATATGGTTGTGTGTGTGCGTGCGTGCGTGCGTGCGTGCGTGTGTATATGTATGTGTATGTGTATACATTGGTAGATTTCTACCACGTACTGAAAAGTATTGAAATATGGTATAAGTATAGAAATGATCGGAGTGGAATAAACTTACAAAGACCCGTATTTAACGGGTCCTGACAGCTAGTATTTTAATAGTCTCTTAGGGTGTTATTAATGCAATTCTGTATAAAATAATTGGAGCATCTATCGTTTAATACTGTTTTTCAAATCAACTAAAAACAACAAAGATAACTAATATCTTCAAGACCGGTGATAATGATAATATAATCAACTGCAGCTTTATTTGAATTCTTCATTTTCTACGTAGCTTTAATAATAAAATGTATTTTATAACCGAGTCTAAAAATAAATTGCTCTATTAAAGAGAGTTTAACTTTAAAAGAAAAAATTTAACTGAACATTCTAATATCCAAGATACGTTTAACATCTCTGAGTTTTATGAAATATTTTTGTTCTACATTAAAAGCGTTTATCAAACTGTCTAAGGCTTTTGATACTAATAATAATAATAATTGATAATATTATAAGATTTAATTTACAAAACTAGTCTTTTGTGGTATAAAAAATCAATTATTTAAATAGTTTAAAAAATATTATAAGTATTAGTAAACAATATGTTTACAATAAAAATTCCCTCTCTCCGATGTTACTGAACATAAAGTGTGGTGTTCTGTAAATATTTATATTTAGACCAACTCGATTTTGAATATACATCAATATTTTTCATAAAAAGTCACAATTAACTACCATAATTTTTTCAGATGATACAAAGTTTAGGGGTTGTGCATAAAGTACGTACGCTCATAGGAGGGAGGGGAAGGTCTTCAAAAAGCGTACGAAAGTTTTAATAGGCTTAGTAAAAATATTGTAGGTTTTACGTTTCAAACAAAATGACAGGCGCGTTTATTTGGCACCTCATAGTAATCGTTTAAAGTGTTTTATAAATGTAAAATTAAACACCTCACATGCTTTGTTTCGTTTAATAGTTATTTAGGAAGAGGGAAAGTTTCATGTATATGATAGCATAGTTATTATTTCTTGAAGACAAAAAATGTCACATAAAAAAATTGCATCATCTTATCTAGGGTAATTTTTTTGAGATATATATTATAAACTAATAATAATACTAAAACTAACTATTGGTTAGTACCTTTAAAGTATAGGTTGTGGTTAGGGCAGGGTGATAAATTTTTTTTAAACAATCACAAGTTAAAAAAAATAAACTGTTATCTTTTTAGGTTTTAAAACACAGTTTTAATATTTTATAAACAAAAATTTTAATATAGTCTTTATTAATCAACTAATTTAAATTGTTAGTGATCCAAATCAAAGGGTGATTTCACTTAATCAAATATGTTTTAGATGCCATGAACTTGATCAGAATTACTTTCATTTACTGTTAACTGATAATTATCATTGTTTTCATCGTCATTTTTATTTTCCTTAGATGTAGTGTTGATTATGTTTCTAAGCACGCATTTGTAACGCTTAACACTTGCTACAGAAGCGTGATAAATTTAGCAGGTTTTACAAGTTATTTGATCAATTTTTTGTTGTGAAAACGATTGGCAGTACAAATCAAAGGAGGCTTCATTTGATTTGTACTGTCAATCATTTGTACCCATTTTGATTCTTGCTCTGGTATTGGTGACAGTTAGGAAGGTTCAACATATTCAGCACCAACAGAATAGTTATCAATTAATATATCCGACCATAACTCAGCTAGAGTTTCTGTAGCTTAAGCAAATTTTTTTTTTCTAAATCAATGTCAATTGTTTTTCCAAATGCATTTAGATGTGTCCCAAAATGATCATGTAGCAAAACCAATCCTGCTAACTCTCGACTCAGAGAAGCCATACGCCGTTTTACCCTGTTATATGCTGAATAATGAGGTGCATAAGTTATATAGGCATCCAAATCCATATTTAATAAGTCTTGCAATTGCAGCTTTCAATGGTTTGGAAAACCTTGGATTTTCATTTGGACCTTCATCAAATGCAACAACAAATATAGATTTTACCTGACCATCTGGAGTACAAATGTGAAACTTAAAGTTTTCAATTGAAACAAGAAGTTCCAAATCACGGCTATGAGTAAAAGCTGTGCTGCTACCATGCTTGATAGATCTAATAGCAATATACGTTGGTCCAGAATATGACACTGCGTCATCAAATTTGTTTGGATCAATAATAAAAGCTGCATAAACAGACAGTATAAGTTTATGTCTGAATTCTACTAAAAAATCACGATCTGGCAAACGTACTTGATATGAAGATGCATAAAAGTTGGTGATTGTTTTGTTGCAGCTGCTAATCTTAATGGGACTTTGGCTTTGTCGTCTAGACTTAAATAAAAGCAAGAATCTGGACCAAACATTGAACAAATTTTATCCATATATTGCATGCACGCAAATGTAAATCCAGCATCGATATGCTTATCACGAGCTGTATTAGCAGTCCTGATCAATTAAAAATACTCACAGGAACCTTCTTAATGTGACTTATTCCCTCAAGTGTGTTTGATCGCTTAGGTATCAGTCTTAAATAAGTTGCAGATCGCGATAAACAATAATCCAGTTTTAGGTTTTTACTTAAGTCATCAAGCGTCTTACTCATGGCTGTTATATATATATATATATATATATATATATATATATATATATATATATATATATATATATATATATATATATATATATATATATATATATATATATATATATATATATATATATATATATATATATATATATATATATATATATATGTATAACTGCTGTATAATTTTAGATTTTAAATACTTTCGATATAAAAAAACCAGCGGGCACAGATGTCCGCCGAACATCTATACAACGTATTATTGACGTCTTAGGTCCGTTGGACATCCTTAAGACTTCTAAGGTACGTTTTTTCTCTGTTGGGAATAACCAGCAATTAAAACTGAAGCAATAAAAAATACTACAATTTATTTAGAATATGTAAGAGATGAAGTTGGATGCAATATACAAGAGGATCCATTATATCCGGCATGCAAAACAAAAGTTATGGTAAGTTTTACAATTGGTAAATATTAATTTTTTATGCTTTTAATGAATATAAGTTCAAAAACTACTTTAAAATACAGATATTATGTTTAATTTTGATATAGTTAATAATAACGATTACAAAGATTTATTATTTTGATGGTGGATACAAGAGTTTGATTAATACGTTGCAAAACATACTAAGAAATAAAGTATAAGAGCAATACATTTATCATTCATTAAAGTTGGTCATGTTGATCTTTGAAATCAAATTAAAAAAATAAACTAATAAACACTTTTATATCAGTAACATTACTTTCTTTTTGTTTACTTAATAATATGAAGTTTTTTTTAGAAAAATATAATTTTTTTAAAAAAATTATATTTTTTGTTGTAATAGTTTAAAATAAACATGGTTTTTAAGCTTTCAAATCACAAAAAGTGCTTAACCTTTATTAAATATGCGGCCGTGGCATAGTGGTTGGAGCGCTTGCTCTATAAGCAGAAGATCCAGGTTTGAAACGAGCTTTGGACATATTTTGCGTCACGCTAAGAAAGGAGGCGTGATCTTCCTGGTTAAACGCACTTCCGCAGTACTCAGTGACGAGACCGTAAGGACTTTTGGGGGCACTTTAATAACAGATTAAAAAAGAAAAAAATTAAATATTTCTTAGTTGTTGAAGATGATGAAACTTATATAATGTCCGATTATCAGCAAAGTTCTGGTGCTGTCTATTATAATAAAGGAAAAGTAGATACATGCAAATCGAAAGTAGATAGGAGAAGTAGAAAATTAAATACACAAAACATGTAAAGTTTTTTTAATAAAAGCATTAATATGGCAGGCTTTTTGCAAGTATGAAAAAAAATCAGAGCCCATGTTTCTGAGTCCTCACTTTCTGGTTAAGTATATGTTGTTATTTTGGGCGCAAGCTTTTGTGTACCACCAAAGCAAAAGCTCAAACTCCATTAGATGCCGGCAGTAACAAAATTAATTTCTTTGAAATATTTTATTTCTTTGACAATGATTTAAAATTAATACTTAGTTCTAAATAAAGTTGGTGAGTACCTTTTTTAAGTTGTTTCTATTTTATACTTTAACACTTATTTCGAGTACACGCAAAAAGTTTCGACTTACTAAAGATTTAGGGGGCCTCCACTTATAAATAACCCAGGTAAGTATTTACACTTAAATAATTTTTACATATATATTCAAAAAAAAAATCTTTCAAAAATTACACAAGATTTCTGGAAGTTATTATTTTAAACAAGTTTCTAATCACTTTAAAAACGAATAGTTTGAAAGTTTTAAATAAATTTTCAAATTTTTATTTTTTAAAAGAAACATTAACATGCAAACTAAAAAAAGTTTAACATAAAGATAAAATAAGTATGTTTTAGGTTTTAGGCTTAAGTGGTGCCCACCCACTAGCAAGCGCTCCGAACCTGATCATCTAGCTCTTTTAAATGTACAATTAAATACGGGACTAAAACGACAGATTATAGAAACTAGTCAGAACGTAATCCAAGCATTAGGCAGGAAGATGGTATAGCCAAATTTTTAAAAGATGTTTTTAAGAGTAGGTCTTCACTTGACTGATTTCTTGACCTGCAGTGACTTAAAAATTATCAACGGAAAAGTAGATTCTGATACAGTTAGGGTTGTTGCTCAGTGCAATTATTTATCAAATACGGAAAATCAAAACTTTCAAAGTTTATGAGATAAACCTGTTCCAAAAAATGTTACTCATGTTTAAATACCAAAATGACATGTTTCCGAAATCGTCTAAAAACCATTTTTAAAAAACTGATCGTAAATATTTGAAAAGGTATAATGTCCGCAACCTAAGTCAACTCTTAAAACTCAATTTCATATAGAGGATTTAATGGAACAAAGGGCTTTATGAAATAATGAAAATTGTAACTTCAATAAATAGTTTTAAAAATTCAGTTAAACAGTACTTAATTGAATAATAGTAACAATAACAGACATAAAAATATTTTTGTTTTTTTAAAAAACTTGTAATATTTCTTACTTTATCAATTTAATTTGTTGTTACAATTTATCGTATTTTTTTAAATTAAGTATTAACTTGATTTCTATAATAAGGATTTTGTAAATTTATTTTATAAGAAATTTTAAAAAAATTCTTTACGCTTACTATAGGGTCTTGATGAAAAGATTTCTGTCTTCTACTTGCTCCGTCATGCCCTTATTTTTTATTTAAATTTTATTGATGAAACTCGTAAAATAAGAACATTGTAAAATGTTTGTAAATGAAAAAAATATATATATTTTTCAAATGAAGTCTTGTAAATCATGCTATTCAATCCCTGAAAATTTTGGTGGATACTTTCTTAAATTCGGAATTTGAACGGTCGACGACTAGGGTTTCTATATGTCGAGTTTTTATAAAAAAAGGGCCCTTTGGCATCCCCGATGTTATTCGACCTGGTTAATGGTGATAAAGTTTTTTCTCAAGTTTGCGTTGTTGATACTCCGTTAAGAGTTAATACTAGCTTACCGCCTCAAAAAAAGAAACCTCTCATTCAAATGACGGGCGAAGACGCTGGAATTAAAAGTTACATTCTTGTTGCTGTATCAGAAGATTTGCTAGAAATTCATTTTTAGATTAAACAAATCTGATTACTGATTAATGCAAACGTAGTTGAACAAATTTTAGATTGCGATATGATAGTAGAAAATATACTCTGTGGTATTTAAACTCATTTAAGTATGCACCCTTTGCATGTTGTGACATTAAATCCAAGTGCCATATCTTGAAACTCGCAAACATTGTGATCAATCGAATTTAGCATCGATTCTTTTCAACAATCTAATAGGGTTGTTGCTTTCAAAAAGTTCCTTGGTAATGTTATTAGAAAGCCTGTCATCAGTGGGCCTTACAATGTTCCAATTTTTGAAATAATTCCACCGATAAAATTGGATCTTCTTTTAGGATTTGTCAATCATATTTTCAAGATACTTAAAGCTGGTTAGTTAGAAGCTAAAGATTTTAACCATTTTAATCCTTACATGCTGTTAGTAATTATTATTTTTATTATTGAAAAATTATTTAAAAGTAATAAAGTTAAAAATTATAATAAGCTTTTTTAAATGATATTCTTGTGGAGAGAATCAAGTTTCATGCCTTACAATTAAATTTTATGCTATATAATGCTAAAACCTTTTGTAAAAGGTTGGGCTTATATTGGTATTTTTTCACTTAGTTTTGAAAGTTAATATATTTAAGAAGGTTTTAAGGGCCAATAAATTCTTTAAACAGAAACACTTTTATTCTTTTTCCAATTGATACTCTTTTTGCCAGGTTTTTTTTCCATTTTACTGCAGGAAAGAATAAGGTATTTACAGTATGCATAAACCAATTCAAAACAATCTTAAAATATCAAATCAGTATTTTTGTCTATAGAATAATGAAATATGTAAAAATAAAACAACTATAGTAACAATTGATATTACATAGTAAAACCTTATGTAACCTTTTTTTGAAAAAAGTTATTAATTATCACAAATCCAATATCAAATTATCAGTAAAGTTTTGAGGCCTATGTAGAAAAAAACTAACATAATATAAACTAAAACTGCCATAAATCTTAACCAATCTGACTGATTGAGTTTTATCCATAGTATGGTGTAGCAAATGCTACGTTTGCATGTGGCCACACCATACGTTTTCATCAAATTATATGTAGTGTACTATATATACCACTACTTAAAGTTTAAAAAAATCTAACTTTTTTATTAAATTGTGTTTTGTTAAACTGTAAAGTGGATCTGTTTTTATCGTCACACTACAAAATCAAAATTTCATTTAATTAGAACAAATTGAGTTATTTACCGCGAATAAAATTAAAAGATTTCAAAATTTGCATCACGGAGTACCGTGATGTGTACGCTATCATCTTACACAAGTGGCTCTTTGGGTCAACTAGCTTGGCAATATCAGGATCCGCGCTAATCATTATTTCTTGATGATATTTTCATTACGTTGATAAACTGTGTTTTACATTTCAAATACCTTATAAAATATATATTGCTTTTATTAACTTTATTTTATTTTTGTATATTTTTTTGAAATAATTGTTTTATTACTATTGCATTGTTTAACGTTTCTTGGTGACATGATGCTGAAATCCTCTTCGAGTTTCCGCGTTCTTAATTAGCAGCCTTGGTGTAGCGCTTGGTATTCTGATTTCAGAAATTGTAGTCCCTGATTCAAAACCATTATTGTTAAAGAAGGATGAACTTCCCGGTTAAATGCTGCTTTTTGAGTAAATGATGTGCTTATACCATGAGTTTAACAAACTATTTTCATTGTGGGCAAAATATATTTTAACAAAATTTTTTCAAAACAATAACAGATTTAATTTTTTATATTTATTTTTTCAAAAGTCGATACAAGCAAGTTGGCGAGAAAATCCGGATTATAAAAAAAACGGAGTTGATGGATCTGTATGTTCAATTATAAACTACTTGAGTAAGGTAATTAGCAATTTTTTAATTTAATAATTTTTTCGTAAATGCATATAAAAAAAGAACTCAAGAATATTATTTTTATAGGTGGAAAGATTTTGCCCTTGTGCTGTACCAAACAATTCTTTATACCCAAATTGCCTAAATAAAGTTAAAGTAAGTAACTCAAAAATAGATATTTTAAACTTACATTTAAATTTTTTTTAAATGTAAAGATATATTGCTATGTTAATTGAACGACATTTAACAAAAACGATCCAACCAATAGTTGAGCTTACCATAAAAATTATCGCCATTAAATTCACTGCTACTTGTCTAATGTTTATTAAAAAAGAACCAACTGCAAAATCAACTGTTTATATGTTATAAAGCAGTTTTATAATGTTTATTTTATGCCTTTCATTTGTAAATTTTATTTTTATTTGTCATTTTCTCACTTAGAAATTTTTGTTGTAGGTTCCTTTCTGTTGTATGTCCTCCAATTATTTGTAACACTTTTGTATGAAGTTCATTTATGTGATGTGTTTTATTTGCATTACCTAGTAACTTAAACTATTTTATTTACTGCATTATTTTTACAGTTTTTTTTAATTATATTTAGTATTGCTTTGTATTTTCGTTGTGCAAATACAAAGCAATACTAATAGTTTTATTTTACATTAGGAAGTTTACTAGGTTGAAATTTTATTCTCTTTTTTTTTGTAGTTTTTATGTTATAATTTAAAAAAATGTTATTTCATCGAAAAAATTTAAAGATGATAGATATAGATGTATAGATAAATAGTAAATGTAGGTGGATTTAAATTTAAAAAGTGAATTGCAAGTCATAGAGTTGCTTAATCAAACCTTACAGCTGTTGAATATTGTAAATAATTTAATATCAGTTGTTGTGACTAATTAAAGCTTGCTAAAAAAATTTGCAGTTTAAAATAATTATAGTTGCGTTACCTTTACTATTTTATTTTTACAAGTTTCATTAAACCATTTTTTTAACTTTTAGGTTTTAATATTATCACTTATTTAATATATTTATTAATGTACTACAGTAAACAAACAAAAAAAAACACAAAACAAAAACAAAAAAAATTATAATTTTTGTTTAAATTTTTCTTTCGTAAGTGGATGAAAGCGAACTGGAAAGCAGATCCTTCTTACAAAAACAAAGGAGTTGATGGATCTGTGTGTTCAATACTTAGCTACTTGAGTAAGGTAAATGACGTTTATTTTTTATTCTTATAAATGTTATCATAAGTGATTGGACCCATATGTTCAAATTTTGTTTGAGGTTGTGAAATTCATATATGTTACATCACAAATTTATTATCAGTTAAATTGTAATTCAATTTCGTAGACAACAAATAAATCTAAATTTAAACAAATTATTTCAATATTTAGTTTAATTAATTATTAAATTTGAAAGTTTAATTTCCGCCATATATATATATATATATATATATATATATATATATATATAATATATATATATATATATATATATATATATATATATATATATATATATATATATATATATATTTATATATATATATATATATTTATATATATATATATATATATTTATATATATATATATATATATATATATATATATATATATATATATATATATATATATATATATATATATATATATATATATATATATATATATATTTATATATATATATATATATACGTATATATTGGTTTACATTTGTTGGTAGTTGTAGAACTTTATAAAACTAGAAATAAAAGTAGTCATATAAATTTACAATGATAAAAAATATAATAAATATAAACAAGGTACATGAAAAAAGATCGCAAGAAGGTTGTCTTTAAAATGAGAATTTAGCAATGATAAGATAAACAAATTATTAAACTTTTACAAAATTACAAGGTATCTGAAGAAAGATCATGAGGAAATTTAAACAATCGCAATCCAAAATATAAATTAAAAAGTTTAAAGCATTAGAACAATAAATAAAAGAACAATAAAAAAAAGAGGAATAAACTTCTATGAGCGTAAGTATGAATAAACTTCTATAAGCGTAAGTAGAAATAAACCTCTATGAGCGTAAGTAAGAATAAACTTCTATGAGCGTAAATATGTATATGAACAATAAAAAAGTAAATCAACAAAAAATATTTAACTTTTACAACTACTTATAACTCGATAAATTCTCTAATAAAAGAATGAGTTTTTCACTTTACTTTTAAAAATGCAAAAAGTATTAGACACTATAAGGTAAAAATTCGGCAATTTTATTCCAAAGGTGTGGCACTCGATAGGTAATACAAAACTGGTTAAAATTTTTGACGAAAAGTTTTATTCAAAAAATAGTTGTTTCTTAACATATATTAACTGATTGGTTTAAAAGTAAAAAGATCTATGAAAACATGATAAGTTATTTATCCATATATATAAAAAACATAAAATGGTAAATACATTTAAATCGCATATATTTTAAATTCTCATTTCAATAAAATGATGCTTCGAATGAAAGAAGCGATTTGCATTGATTATGATTGCATCGCACTGATTAAACGGATTGCGCGTTTCTGACGTAAATGAAAACTTTGCAACTTACTTTTATTTGCACTTCTTCAAGCAATATTAGCATAATTTAAATAACTATGTATAAATAATTAATAAAGTTAGTTTTTTTATTGAGGTAGATTTGTAAATTTATATAAGATCCTTATATTTTTATAAATATTGATTGCAGAAATCACTTTTTTGTGATCGAATGAAATAATACCCATATTGTTTTATCAGTGTTCAGGGTTAACTTATTACACTTGAACCACTTAGATACGTGTCTTATTTCTTCGTTTAATGCTTTTAAAAGTTTAACGATATTATAGTTAGTAAAGAATAAGTTTGTAACGTCTGCATTCATAATGCTTGTTAGTTTTGATGCTTTATGCAAATCATTTGTATAAATTAAAACAGGAGAGGTTGAAAATTTGAACCTTGTGTGATTCCCCAGGTTATAATGAGAAAAGTGATTTGATAATTATAGTTAATAGATAAAAGTTATTTTTGGTTAGATAGATATATTTTAAAGCATTTTATAATTTTATTCCGTAAGATTTGAGTTTATCAAATGCTTTTGATAAGACAATAAAAATTCTTATTGTATATTGTGGTTTTTAAAATAAGTTTGAAATTTCACGTAATAGTTGAAGAATTGCTTGTTCAGAGTTATCCTTTGTTCGAGTTATCCTTTTTGAAACCAAATCGATTGATGTAAAGTAGATAGTTATCATGAAAACATTTGTATTTTATGTTGAAAAAAATTTTTTTAAAAGTTGAAAAAATGTGGAAAGAACAGAGATGGGGCGACAATTACTAATTATGATTAAATTCTGATTTGTCCCCCTCTTTAAAAATAGGAATAATTTTAGGGGTTTTAACTGTTGTGGGAATACTTTATGAATGATATAAATTCTAAAGATTATATAAAAAAACCTCTTTAAGTTGTTCAAAGCAATCTTTAACTACGTTTTCAGTAATTTGATCTTCTCTAATAGCTTTATTTTTTTAAACACATTTAAAGGCTCTTTCAAACTCATTAAATATTAATTCAGAAGACAACTCATCTAAACAAATGCATTTATCAATGGGTTCTAAATAATCAGTTAATAAAGATTTGGTTTAAAGAATTTTAAGGTCTACTGTTGTAATAGATTTAACAAATTTTTCACTGATATAGATAAGTGAAAAATTTGCCAAATTTTGGAGCTATAGCTCTTGGTTCATGCATATTTTTGTAATCAATTCTAACCCTTTGTGATAGAAAACCGGAGCTTGATTTATTTTTGCCGAAAATTTCTTTCAATATTTAATGTATTAAAAAAGTGGGATTAATGAACATAATACTCCCGATTATTTAAAAGGTTTCCTTAGGTTTTTTAAAATTATTTTTAAATCAATTTTTGTAGACTAGTTTTTTTAGGTTAAACATTGACTAAAAAACTTTAAATTAATGTTGTTTTAAATTGGTTGTTGATTTATTTATTTTAACCTTTCATCCCTATTATCCCTATTATATTAAGTTTTCAAGCAAAATCTTGAAAATAAGTTTCTTAAAACTCTTTGTCTTAATGTAGATGTCTAGACAAGATATAATAGCACTTGTTTAATGCTTAAATGTATAAACAAATAAGTAATTCCTATTAAGCCATTCCTAGCGGAACTTGTCAGAATTTCTAAATTTCCACTTGTAAAAAAGGTAAATGTTTTTTAAATATGTCTAGGAAAAAAAGTAAAACAAGTTCCTCATTTAAAAATATTTATAAATCATATAAGCATTACAGCTTCATTCATAATAAAAAACATAAGCACTACAGCTTCATTTGTTTTTTTTTAAGTAATATTATTAACTTTTTTTTTAATCTTTTTGAAATTGTATTTATTTTAACATTACCAATACTTAGAAAAGTTTTGAACTTGAAGAGAAACACAAAATCAAAGCTATCTTGAAAGATAATTTATATCAAAGTTTAGCACAAACAATTAATGTGACTTGCAGGATAAAGTTTGCATTGAAAAAACACTAACTAGCTTGTGATCGCTAAGTAAATACAACAGTGTCCATCAAAGCGGGTCGATTCCAACTTTCACTGATATAACTGAGCTGACAGTTCATGTTATAAAATTATTTATAACAAGTTAAATGATAACCCTCTTATTAATTTCTTTACTTTACATCTTCTTGGATTATCATATACAACTGACCTATATATACAATATACTGCAAAGTTAACACCTGCTAGGTTAGATATGCAATGCAAAGACATCGCAAATGGCTGAAGCATCTAACTAACGGTGAACAGGAAAAAAAGAGTAAGAGAATAGTAAAGGAAATTTTTAAATTATAAAAAAGATTAGTTAGAAATAATGTAAAAAAAAAAAAATTGAAGGGTATAAACTATAAGATTGAAGAAAAAATAAAATAAGAAAATGGATAAAAGTAAAAAAATGACTAAGAGATTTAATCAAACAAAAAAAAAAAAAAAAGTCATTTGCAGCAAAGTACCAATTTAAAAGAAAATAGTTCGAAAAATGTGCGAAATAAAAATTAAAAGAACTAATTAAAACGTAAAAAATTGCAACCAATTTTTCTACACCTTTTTTTTTTGTGACAAATATGTGATATTTGTTATATTATTATTTTTTATTATTATATTAATTATTAATTAACATTATATTACCATTAATTATTTTTATTAAATATTATATTTGTTAAACATTGCCATTTTGTGCATGCATTTCGTTTTGTAGTTTTTGTGTTTCTCTTTTCGTTTGCGTAAAGTTTGTTATTATTTGTGCTAATTATTTTTATTGTTGTTTTCTGTTTTACTATTTTACCAAATTTTTAACACCTTTTATTTCGCAAAAAACAACTAAAGTTTTTCCTTATTTTTTAATTTTTTTTTTTTTTTTTGTAGAAGTATTTGTGTTTGCCTTTTCGTTTTGTAGTTTTTGTGTTTCATCTTGTAGTTATTGTGTTTTGCCTTTTCGTTTGTATAAGATTTGTTTTTTATTTGCTCTGTTTTGCTAATTAATTTTATTTTTGTTTGCTGTTGTTATTGAGTGCTTTCATATTTTTTGTCTTACTATTTAACTTATTTTAGCTGTTATTCGTTGTTGTTATTATTTTATTTTATTTTTTTAGAGATTTTTGGATCATATTTGTTTTTTTTATTATTATTTTATTATTATACTAATTGTTATAATTAATTGGTGTCATTTGATTATAAGTGACACTCATGTCATCATATTATTTGTATTATTATAGATATTATTATTATTTTTTAATTATTATTGTTATAATTATATGGTGTCACTTCTTTGATCAGGCTTCTGTTTGAGTGACACCTTCCTTTTCAAACAATCATTTATATTTATTTTTATTAGTTATATTTTATTATAGTTATACTATTTGTATTACTATCGATCATATTATTATTATTATTGTTGTTGTTGTTGTTGTTGATGTTGTTGTTGTTGTTGTTGATGTTGTTGTTGTTGTTGTTGTTGTTGTTGTTGTTGTTGTTGTTGTTGTTGTTGTTGTTGTTGTTGTTGTTGTTGTTGTTGATTATTTTTAGTGTGCTTGCTTTTTCTTTCTCCCTATTTAATTAAAAACATTTCATTAAACCCTGCATGGAATTTCGATAAATGATAAATCAGCCTAGGCATTGTCTAGAAGAGAAAGATGCTCTTTCTCTTCTAGACAATGCCAAAATAGTATTATAAATATAGTTTGACCTTCTTCATTTGACGAGAATACTGAACATAGTATTTCTCGTCTTATTTATGGAGAATATATGAGTATTTATACTGGAATAATTTAAAAATAAAGAGAGCGAATAATAATTATTAGTTTTACTTACATTTAGATAAAAGTTATAGCCTTTTCTTACTACTTTAAGTTCTAAAAGTTTAGAAATTTTAAACTATGTATATAATATTAAACTGTTGTGTAAATAGGAAAATTCATTTGGAATGAAAACTTACCTTTAAAACAATAATAACTATAGTGCTTCATTTTTTCATTGCAATTCCATCTATTGTTAGAACATGCTTACCAACTTGCTAGATATAGTTTAAAAAAATAAAGTAAAAATAATGAAAATATTTAAATGATTATAATTAAAAAAACTATAACTATTTAAATATTTTATTTATTGTTACTTTTGTTAGTTTAATTCTAAATTAATATCATTGAACCTAAGTTTTTTTCTCATTGAACTTATTAAATTTTTAATTTTTTGAAATACAGAGGGATCAGGGATAAGGGAAATTGAACTTATACACAGAACTTCAGGGATTACTATTATTGATATAAATTTATTGCTAATTGTTTTTATTAAACTTTTTTATTTGATTTTATTATTTTTATTTACAGAGAGATCAATAACCATGTCCAGATTGTTAATCTAGAGTAGCTATTACCTTTTGAGAGATGACACTCAGAAATTAGAATAAGATTTGTTAAAACTTTAAAATTATTAACAGAAATTATAATAGATTTTTTATAACTTCTTTGGTTTATATAAGGTACTAGTTTCAAATTTAAAAATTCAAATTATTATTTTCAAAACTCTTATGAACAAATGTGCAATACAAATTGTTTACAACAAAAGTTTCATTATTATGTTTAAAATGTTGATGATATTAGGGATTCGTTAAATGTTTAAAGCATTTTACCACTGTGATCACTAGTAAATGACTAATAATATTATAAAATAAAAATAAAATAAAATCAATAGTAAATGACTAATAAAGCAAATTTCAAATCATGAAAATTTACAAAATTAAAATCATATTTTAACAACAGAAAACCTAAAATAAAACAATAGAAGTATTAGTATAGTAATAAAAGGTAGATTTAAAAATATTCAATTAAAAGTATGCATGAATTAAAATCAGTAAATTTTTAAATACTTTTAACAAACTTTTTTTGTTCTTTTGTTTTTTGTATAGGTTCGAGGTAATATTTTTGACGTTTTGAGTCTAATGGTTAAAAATCTAGCAGAGATTTTTTTTATCGTTTGAAAATCATGTAAGTCCTCATAAAATGATCAACATGTAAGTCTTCATAAAAAGGATGCGACTACATTTAAATCAGTGAATTTATGTACGGACCTTGCACCTATTAAATAAAGCTTTGAGAAATAAAAACAAAAAACGGACATAACTGTATATAAATAACAAAACTATTTAAAAAACATAAAACTATTTAAAAACTAAAACTAAATAAAATTACTTAGACATTAAAATTTAAAAAAAATCCCAAATGACAATTTAAACCTCATCCCTGTTGGCCGCGAAAATAAAGTATTTTAATATTTTCTTGCATCTAAATAAGATTTTTATAAATAAACATTATTAGTATTCACGTATATGTACGTGAATCACTTACTTATAAGAATGCACAACTTACTAAGTAAAATAAAATACTAAATAATATATTCAGTTAATTATTAATATGCCTTGCAATTATAGAATTATTAATATGCCTTGCAATAACTTATACAATAAATATTAGTATTACATTTTAATTATAACTATAATATTAGTATTGTTAGTATTAGCATTATATTAATACTAATGACAGTTAGTATTAGTATAATACTGTTAGTATAAGAACATTACTACTTTGTATTAGTAATTATACTAATACAAAAACAAGGCGTGTCGTTTCACAGGTATGATGAAACATTTATAGTTATTAGTATTTCGTCATACCTGTGAAACAGCATGCATTGTTTTTGTTTTTGTTGATTTGTGCACCCATTGCACAGCACGAAATAACCATAACTGTGCAATTTTTCAAAAAGAAGTAGTTGCTCTTAAAAGTTTAACAGTTAAAAGTTCATTGTAAACTTATGTCCAGTTTAAATTAGTTTTATATCCGTATGAAACGCTTTCAGAATTTAGGATTTTTGCCATACGACAAGATGGTGGAGGCTGGCTTCACTTTTTTACTCAAGTCACGCATCTAGTTATATTTATACGTCATTGGTAGCATGTTTTTCCCAAATTTGACAACAGTAAATGATCGATTTTCACTAAAAATTCAATGCAAATCTTTTGCTATCGTGAGGAGATTACAAAGCTGTACGTTGTGTGGTAACTTTGCAATATAATTAACGTTTAGTGCCTTCAGTAAACACAACCTACTTAATATTTATATATATTGTTAGTCTCAATGTGTAATAGTTTTTTGCGTACCATCATAAAAACCCCGTGTGTTTAATTTTAATTATTGGATGCCTTATGCATAATACTATAATAAAAGAGATATGCCATTTGTAATATTAGGAAATTTTTATGGGATGACATGCTTCTTCAAATGTAAAACCTTGTTTTGACAAAGTTCATTTTAGTACAATAAATATAAAATTTTACTACCAACTAATCCAATTAAGATTGTAACTCAACTGAGGCTAGTAGGAGTTTAACCAAAACACATAGCATGATATATGACTTCTAATTTTTTCAGTTTAACTGCCTTTAAGAAGCTTTTTTAAATAAATTTTTATATTTTATTTTTATCTATTATCACAAGTAAAAAAAAATTATTTATGTTTTTTTGACTTCAGATTTTAGACTTGAATGATTTTTGCTTGCTTGTAGTATCAATGTAACTGTACAAAAGATTACTTTTCAGTAGACAAACATAAAAATTATTATCCAATGGTCATTTTTTTATAAACAAATTAACGTCCTCTGCCAAACTTTTATAAATCTTCACAAAGTGTTAAAAGATTTAACAGCGACTTTTTATTCAAACTTTTTAGTGATAAATATATCAGTCTTTTTCAAAATTTACAAACTCTAATGTGTAACTTTTTAAAAAGAGTTGATATAAAGATGCAGCAACAAGTTTACATCATTTAAGTATTACACCAACTCAAGAATTTTTAGTCAAGTAAAACTGCATATAACTTTTAGGTGCGTAGAGCAACTAGTAGTCTGGTATAACTGTTTATAACTTTTAAATTGAGTATGTTTTATCTACAAACAAAGTTAAGTTTTACTAAAAACACATTTATAGATCTTTTCACATTTGCTTTAACACATACATTATTTTCTTCCATTTTTTAGATAAATAACAGGTAAAATCTGATCACCTAAATAAACGTTATTGAGATTTTCATAGGTGAAAAATCTTTTATTTGAGTAGATTTTGATAATTTCTATATAATCCGAAAAGAACTAAAATAAAATAAATTTTCTGTAACAGAGTTGTAATGGTAAACTTACTTAATCCTGTAATTGTAAATTTAATTAATTAATCGAGTTGTATTATTTTTGAGACTGACTTGTTAAGCAACGTGACCAGGGCTTCGTTGCGTTTTGCAAGATTTTTTGTCGATGTTTTTGAATTTCTTCATCTGGTCTGATTATTCGGGTAATGCACAAAGATCAATATTTGTTCAGAGGTTCTATTTGAGAGTCAATAATTTTAACTTTTTTCTTTTTTCAAGCTCTTATTTAAGTCGTTAAATGTAGGCATTATTTAGCTGTAAATTATCATTTTATTTGGTTCTGGATCATACTGTCATTAAATATTCTGAATCGTTTTAAAATAATTTAGAATTTTTTGCTTTTTAAAAATCATTTATAAACTTTAGCTTAAAACACCTATCAAATAATTTGAATTAACTTATCGAAATACAAACAGTTTTAAAAGAAATCCTTAGAGTTATTAATCCTTAGAGATTTCAGTTATTAACATTTTATTTTTTTACAAATAACTAAATGAAATTCAGATAAAATAAATGTTAAAAACAGTTACTAATTATATAAAGACCTGTCAAAGTATCACTGAACTCAAAGTTTTTAGAATTAAATACTAACAACTAAACAGTACGTTACGACGTTACGTTACGTGGGTTCAGTGTTATAGGAATATTTATTTATTGCTGTGTATTTTTTCTTTTTCCTAATGTGTTTTATTTGTTATATTTTTTTAACACATATATTTGTTAAATTCTAGGCTGAAAAATGGTGTCCGTTATAAAATGGAGAACTAAAAGAAACGTTATTTTTAAAGCGTATTTTTCATTGCTATTCACTCGAAAGATAACCTATATATTTTTGCACTTACATACATTGTTTTTTGTTTGATTTATTTTTATGAATAATGAGAAATTACATTTTTAATTTTACTCTTTATGAAAAAACTTTATAAAATTAAATTTCTTTCTTTATATTGTTAAAAGTGAACTTGTTAAGTTGTTTAATTTGATCTCTAAAGTTATGATTAATAAGTTGTTTTAATGTAATGCTTGTTAAGTAATTTATAAAAAAAACTAAACTGCTAGTCTGTAACGAATACACAATAGTTAATGTGTAACCAATACTAAAGTATTATTTTCTAAATAATACGAAACGTATAATATAAAGTCTGCAGCTGGTTTTCAAACGTTATTTGTCGCTTATTTAGAACGGTAAAGCTATTTCTTAATTAAAATGTGTAATCTATTACTAATGTGAAGAGGTAAAGCTCGGTAAAATGAAATGTGTAAGCTATAATATTATTTTGTAAGTTACAAAATTGAAAAGTATTTTTAGGGTATGCTATTAACATTCACTGAAAAAACTTTTTAGTTTTGTTTAATATGCGCTTGTACTTATTTAGTGTATTTTTAAATTTCTAAAAATTAACTAAATGAAAATGAAAATTTTGTCTCAAATTTAAGTGTTTAAAATTTATTGCCGTTAACTCTATTAAAAATTTCCTCGTTGTGAAGATGATTGCGACTGCATGGTAATAACGTTTGAACAGTAAACTTTTTAGATGAATTTTAAAATCTGTCAGTGAAGACAAATTGAAGTTAGTTAATTAATATAAAAAATGCATCATCTCCATTAGTATGTTAGTGGAGCACAAACTACTTGGTCTTTTAATTGAAAAGATCTTTTTAAGAGCGCAGCCCGATCAACAGCTCGACCTGTCCCAGGAAACGCTAAAGCAAAACTTAAAATGTACTTCTTTCACAGAATGAAGATTTTTTTTAACTATTTTTTTCAAAAATTAAATTTAAAATAAAATATAATAAGTTACAATGAAGAAAACCAGCGTTGTTACCCAGTAAGCACAAAGACGTTTAAAAGACGTTTTAAAGATGTCTTTAAGGAGGTCTAAAAGGCGCACTTGTAGACGTCTAGATCATAAAGCTAAAAGACGTCTAAATGAAGACGTCTTTATAAAAACGCGTTTTAGACGTATGTTAGACGTTTTTTTCAAGATAATTTTAAGTACATGACGTAACATTTTCGCGTAGTATGTGGTATATATTCATTGTATTTATAACATCATATATTGTTATAATTTCGTATTTCCAAAATATACATAGGAACCAGTAATCAAAATAATATTGCTGTAATCACCACCAACGGTTGATGCATCAAAGATGAAAATAATAAATAACAATAACAAATTTATATCAAATCAGTATTTAAAACATTTATAACTCACCTTTAGTTATAATAACATTTGACATACTAATTTCTAGCTAATTTTTGACCGGATACTTGACTTAGTATATGGCTTGTGGGTGTATAAAAACTAAAAGTACTGATATTTAACTTATATATTATTCTTGCCATTTTCGCTTATTATCATGATCAGTCAACTATCTATTAAAAAAGCAAAATAATTATTAATAAAAAAAAGATATATTATTATTATAGCAATTATTTTAGTGATTCCTGTGACAACAATTTTAGCAATTGTGTAAAAAAGTAATTTAATTTAAAGTAATTTACACTTAAAACTTGAACAAATTATTGAAAATAATAAAAACTATGTTTTTACTTTGAATATACGACATCTACTTAACGCGTAATGACAAAGCCGTCAAAAAGAAGTCATAATGACATATTTATAAACAGGTCTCAGAAAAGATGTCTTTTAGCTTTGATCTAGACGTCTTTTAATGCGTATTTTAGACTATTTATTACGCGTCTTTTAAACGTATTTTTAAACTTTAAAAAGACGCATTTTAAACGTCATGTTAAAATCGCATTTATAAAAGACGTCTAGAAGATATCTTAAAAAAAGATAACTTCTAGACGTTTTTTTAACGCTTAAATAGACGCCTTTTAAACGTCATTTTAAAAACGCCTTTATAAAAGACGTCTAGAAGATGTCTTTAAAACGTCTATAAAAGTGCGTCTTTACCTAGACTAGTTTTAGACGTCTATAAGTGTCTAAAATGCGTCTTGTGCTTACTGGGTAAACAGCGGAAATCTCTCGTCTTCTTTCTTCTTATGCAGCAATTAGTGATTGTCTCCCAAAATAATTTTTAAAGCAAATTGTTCTGATTTTTGCCTTAAGTGGTTTCCTTCTCCAAATTGATGCCACAGAAAGAGTTTTTTTGGAGGTCCACGCCTAATGTAAAGAGAAGTCTTAAGTGGCTGCCTCCTTATAAAAATTTTATCCTTAACTAAAAACCAAACGTGAAAAACATTTTCACGTTAGGTTTTTAGTTAACACGCATTCCTTGTGAAAAATGAGCTTTATACCATATTTTGAGTAATTTTTTCTCTCATCTTATTGCTTCATTTTGTTTTTATGTTTTTGAATCAATCAATTTTTAGTATTTGATGCAATATGTTTATCATTCTAATTGAATTTTTTCATTCTGATTTTTTTTGACACATAGATATCTAAATACCGCAGCTTGCAGCTATGATTATTGCGACAATATATTGTTAACACCATTTAGAAGCAATTTAGCTAGCAACAGCATAAATCTAAATTTGTAGCTAGTCGAATGCTACATACCGCGTCTTCATAAATGACGATTTTATGGTATATACAGATTCTAGCTACAACATAACGACAAGTTTAAAGCTAAGCAATAAATTCATATTGTAACAATAGCTACGGTAAGGTTGCCAGCTATAATAAGGTTGCCATTGTTTTACCGGCGCTTAAATTGAAGTTTTGTAGTATTAGTAACAAATACTAATTTAAATTAGTATTAGTTACTAATACTACAAAAATTTTACTTATGCTAATTTTAGTTAAAATATAAAATATTTTTACCAAACTTTATTTTTTGCTATATTGAACTAAGAGATCAATTGTTTTTTTTTGTGATGAAACTGGATTCTGGCAACAATTATCATGAGTTGATATGTTGGTAAAATATCTTATTTTTGGAGTTTAATGCTAAGGATAAGAACGAGGCTATTTTTTCTTATTGAAATAGTAACATTTGACCGATTACTTATGTGCAAAATATATTCAACAAATAAGTTTTGAAGGTTTTCAAAAACAGTTATTAAAACATTGCTTAAAAATAATTGTAAAATATTTCTAAGGCACAGAATAGAATAAAAGGTAAAGATATAAAAGTCATACATATTAAATCAAGTCAAAAGTATATTAAAACAAGCTATTACTTTAAAATTTACAATTGTATAAGTACAAATATAAAGCATTTACCTGAACATACAACATTAACGTGCTCCATAAAAACATACCAATAAGCTAAAACTAGACTAGAGAACAACGCAAAAGTATCTTTTTAAAATTTAAGATTTAATGTCAATGCTTTTGAACTGTCAGCAATAGATATTGTCTCTGTATTGCGTCTTTTGTATTTGTTATAGCAAAGTCTGTGATGACATTTACTGTTCTTTCAGCCATTTATTTAACGACTCTGCAATTATGAACTGATATGGCAGCTTCATAACAAACGGCATCATGTACCCATTTTGTTGCTGGCATGTTTATCCAACTGTTGTTGACATGAAAGAGCCTAAACAGCTGCAAAGACCTTGCACAAATTAAAGATGACAGTTGTGTTGCTGAAGAAGTCGTCAGCTGTGGAAATATTTACATTTCCTTTAGAAGAAAACTATTAGCATTATATCTAAGCTTCAGAAACTGCTGAATGATTTACTTCTTTTTAAAGTCTAACAAGAGCGTGGAGAAATACTGAATTGGAGCTTCTGCGATGTAAGGCAAACAGTGTCATTTATTCAGTGAGATGTCACAGGTGTCTGCTATGTGCTTTCAGAGCCTTTTGTGGCACGGTTGGATTAAAACAGTTTTAAGAGATTTTTCAGTTATTTTTTATGTAAGCTGGCAGTCCTGCTAGGAGAACGGCAAGTCTCCAAGCACAACTTTCCCGTACCAGTGAAGTGTAACGTACTTCGGTCTAGTGAATCGGTCACGTACTGTAATGTTATGTACTTCGGTCAAAGTAAACAGCGAAAAATATTGGGGGTTTGAGTCCACCTTGGGCTACAAGTGTGTGCAACCTAAACAGCAACTACTGTCAACACTTTTTTACTTTGTGTTATAAGCTTGCGCAAAGTAAAAAGCGACTACTATTGACATCTTTTTTTTTTACTTTAGGTTGCAGGCATGCACAAGTCGAAAAAGTAGCTACTATGGAGCTTAGCGCTCAACGTAATAGTTGCGCACTGTTTTTTACTATAGTCTTAAAAATATTTCTTTGAACTGTTTTATCAAGCGGCCATTCCAAAGAATGTTTTAGAGTTTTGTTTGCTTTTGAACATACTTAAAATGGACAAGAAATTATAATCAGTATACTAAAGAGTTTCTGCTACTAAAAATGCTATTTTAATAACTAATGTATATTTTAAAATTGGTTTGGCTTCTTTACTCATTCAGCTAGCGAAAATAGTCTGGTTCATCAAGTTAAATTACAGTTTTCTGTTATTCTGTTTTTGAAGTTTTTGAAGTTGTCTACTTTGTTAATATTTTTTAAAAAATGAGTAAAGCCTGTAGAATAAAATCAAGAACAATAATTAAAAAAAAGAGAAGAGGTTTCTTAGGGAAAAAATTTAACGGTCTCAACAAAAAAAATATTGAAATAAGGTTGAATGATAACACTGCTGTAACAATTTTGACTGATTCAAATAATACCGTGAACTGGGGTGACTATGAACAACGGGGTGAAAATGAACATCAATACCAAGTTTACTAATTGGTGAAAGATAGTGCCTTGTTATTTTGATTCAGATGACTTAAATATAATATAAAGAAGTTAATTTTTAGCTGTCCTCAAAAAATTTATTTTTTGAGGACAGCTAAAGTTGAGACTTAGCTGTCCTCAAAAAATAGAACCACTATTTGAGACTTAGCTGTCCTCAAAAAATTTATTTTTTGAGGACAGCTAAGTCTCAAATAGTGGTTCTGTGGTTCGGGCAATTAAACTAAATAGTATATCTTACAAACTGCCAATCAGAACTTTTTAGCGCACATCAAGTTCAAATGCATATTGCTCTAATAAAACTATAA